TATATTTCAAATAAAGTTGGACAAATAGAAATTTACTGGAATATTTTAATAAGATTTTACAAATAAATATAAACAAAATTTAATAATAAATATAAGTATTAAATATTTTACTTGCAGCAAAATTTATAAGCTTACTATAAGCTTATAATATAAATAAATAAACTAACTGTAAGTCACATTTTTATATTAAAATTTATAGTATGTTACATAATGTATTGCATTGATTATATATCAATTAATACCGTATATATATATATATATATATATACCTTATTAAATTATATTATAATAGAAATATCCAACACTTTTATGTGCCAATAGTTAACAACATTATGAAATATCTTACTTTTCTTATTTTTATATATACACAAAATAATAATTAGTTAATAATTATTTTAAACATGTCTACTTAATTTTTTACATTTCATATTGAATCATGAAAATTAAAATAAAGCACTAAATCGTGTAATTTTTTAATTAATAATTCAAGTATTAATAAATTATTTAAATTTTAACGTAAATTCTGATAAAATAACTAATCTATAAAATAGCAAAGATTATAATAAATGATTATTAAGTAATAAAATTTGAAAAATCAAATAACCTATAATTTATATAATTTATTTTATAAAAATGCATAAATATGATATAATTGTTCATTTTTCTATACTATTTAACTATACTAATTTAAAAAATATATTTTTTACTTAAATGTATCAAGACAAGATTATATTATTATTTTTATGTTAAAATTTTGATTTTATAAATAAACCAGTTAAGAATGCTAGAAAGCATTTTCAGAAAAAAACTTGAATATCATAAATAGGTTGAAAACAATTAGTTAGCGGCTATATAGTATTATTTAAAAACTGGTCAAATATACATAATTTAAATATTGGCATATATGGTATAAAATGACTCGGTGTGACAAAATAAACTCAACTATAGTCGTGTAGGTTATCAAATGACTCGATACAACAAAATAAACAACAATAGACATGTAGGGTATCAAATGACTAAGTATAACAAAATAAACAACTATAATCATGTGGGAGATCAAATGATTCAGTATGACAAAATATACTCAACTATAGTCATGTAGGATATAAAATGACTCGGTATGACAAAATAAACAACTTAAGGTATGTGGGATATCAAATGATTCAGTATGACAAAATAAACAATTATAATCATACTTTTGCCGCTATTTTTTAAAAAATAAAATAATGCTGATCTATTATATATTATTTTTGATGCTCTATACAATTCTAAACGTTAAAATTTTCACCTAAATTTTTTTACTTTGGCCGCCATTTTCTCTACGTTCCCTAAGAGATATCAAAATTTTTATGCAACTTTTCAATACATTATTAGTAGTTCTCTAACCGAATCTGAAGTCAGAATTTCAAAATTCGTAAAAAATATGCTACAGACACACACACACACACACACACACACACACACACACACACACACACACACACACACACACAGACTCAAAAAGCCATTATAGATTTCAGTAAACAAAACTTTTCAAGTTTTTTTTTTAAATATAAGAGTATTACACTGTTTTAAGAATATAACACTTCAAATATGTATATTTTTCAATAACTAAAGAATATAAATAGAGTTAATAAAAAAGAAATTTATATAAAAAGATTTTATAAATTTTATTAATTGTAGTTTTTTAAAGATTACTTTTAAGTAAATGATTGTCAAAGCCATCAGTAAATTAAAAAAAAATCAGAGTATAATTTCTTTAGTAATTTCTCGAAGGAATAATACAAATAGTAATTATTTAATTAAAAACACTGACATTTAAATTGTATTGAATTAATAAAGATTACTATTTTAATATGTTTTTATTATAAAATAAATAATTGGATTTTTAATTTATTGAATTATTATTATAAATATGCATGTTATTGAATTTAATTTTTTAATCAGTTAAAAACGATTATTATAAAAATAGTGTTTTTTAACAATTATATTTTTACTAAATATATTTATTAAATTTTTCATTGTATATATTAGTCTTTAAAATTGTATAATACATTGTATTATACTGTATTATATCATATAAAGTCAAAATTCAAAAAGTAGTATTGATGTAGAAAACACGTGCGAATAACAAAAACACGAGATTCACGTGCTTTTGACACAAATATCAGAAATACTATTATTGTTTAAACATAAATTGATACAATAATATAAAATACATAATTATAAACTTATTAAGCATTTAAAAAAAAATATTTTAAAAATACTTTAATTTAAAGTAAAAAGTTTGTCTCAGAAAGACATAATTATTTTATTTGTGGACAAAAACTAAAATCTTAATATAACACAAATTATTTGTGAACCGAATATTTTTTTTCATTGATTGTAATTTACAATTTGTAAATTAGATAAAGAAAACACAAGTACTGTAACATTAAATATTTATATATTATTTTATTAAAGTTTATGCGATTCCGTCTCTTATTTTGTTTACAGAAAAAATCTACACTTATTTTTTTCACTGATAATTTTGGACATTAATTGAACTCTAATCCACATATTTTATCATTAAGTTTGAAAAGCAAAAGTTATATGAATTACTGTTATATTGAGTGCTATTATAGAATAGTATCACTTAATTAATTAAATTCATAATTTTAAAATATTTAAATATAATTTTTATTCTATAAAATATAATCAGTCGATAAATAAGATATCTTTTAATTTTCCAAAAAAATAAAAACATTTTATTTGAAAATTATTCTTCATTGAAAAGTTTATATTGTATGTCATATATAATAATATATAAATTTTATTTTGTTAACTTTTAACAATATAGTATTTAGATTATTCATTTTATAACATACAATATGACATTAAATGGAAATATAAGATTCAATGTTTATAAAACTAATTTTTGAGTTAATTAATTAGATTATGAAAACTAATTTATACTAAAAATTAACTTATGCATTTTTTATATTTATTTATAAATAAAGTATATATAATATAACACAGTATAATAAAGAACAATGTATAGTACTGTACATAGTATACACTGTATTCTGTATATGATAAAAAATAAAATAATGTATTAAAGAAAAAAATTTTAAACATTGTTTTATGTAATTTATATTTAATAATTATATTTGCAGATATACAGTATATCACAAATTTTTATGTATATTATTATATTTAATCTAAATAAATTATTTCGTATTTTATATAATTAAAAACAACAAAAATGTTTATAAATATTATATATATATATAATAAAAATATTTTTGACGAAAAATTTAATTACAGTAATTTTAAACCAATTTCTTTGGTTTGTTATATTAAATCAAAAAATAAATTATTTAATATTTAAATTATATATTCAATATTTTTAAGTGGTTTTATAACAAAAATATCAAATGATCGACACATAAATTACACACACACACACACACACACACACACACACACACATATATATATATATATATATATATATATATATATATACTGTATATAGATTATTGTGTTTTTTGTTTTGTCATTTAATTAAAGTCTATTTATTCGTTTGAAGATTGCTATGAAGTATTCATATCATTAATTATTTTGATGTTATATATATTGCTTTAATAACATAGTAAATAATATAATAGTACAGTATATTCTGTTTTATTATTATTTTTATAAAAATAACTACTCGTTATCTTTAAAAGCAAACAATAAAATTCTTGAAGATATAAGTAAAGTGTTTCTGTTTTTATTAGGATTTTATTATGATTTAAATATTTTAGACTATAATAAAACTCATATATTTATGTGCACACAGTTTATAACTTTTTTATGTGGTTTATTAAAGTCTTTTTTGAGTTTTTAATACAAGTAATTAATTTTTAAATAAAAAATCATTTGCTTTATTTACATTTTAGTAAAGTAAATAAAATAAAATTTATAATATTAAATTTTTAAAATATATTAATCAAATATTGAATTAAATTATATAAATTTAATCTATATTTTTATTATTAGATAAAAATTAAATTTTAATATTAAATTAGAATAAAGAATAAAAAACTAAAAAAATTGAAAATATACTATTATATTGCATATATTTACATAAACAGTTAAATAATTAATAATTGAATATTAAATGTCAAATATACGAATTGATTATTAAATAATCTAACAATTATTTAAAATAATTTTTATGTCTTGATTTCTGTCAACATATTAATAATTATAAAATTATGTAAACTCTTCACAGAATTATGTGTATACCATATATTTGACACAAAATTTATATTAAATACTGTATATTAAAGAGTATATGATATATAATATTAAATGTTTGCGCACTGATTCTGTAGCGCAAACTCCCGGCGCCTAAAATTGCATACAAAGCACTGATAGTTATTATATTTTGGCTGAAGATATATACGGATCAATATAGCATCCATGTCTATGCCTATCTATATTCACAACAATCTTTATACCACTACTGGATGTGCTATCAGTTTTCAAATCACACATTTTGAAAAATTTTGTTAAATAATTAAAAATATATGTTACACTAGAAATGTATTTTACAATGGCTGTAAATATTAAAAAACATCTAATATTTAAATAATTATATTGTGATTAAAAAATTATCAAATATTTTAGTGTTATTATCTACAAAACATTAATATGTTTATTTAATATATATATCTTTGTTACTTAATAATGAAAAATCAAACAAACTCGTAATAAAGTAAATAATATGATATGTGACCGTAAATAATAGTAATATATGTCAAGCAATAAATCAAAATTTTTAAAGAATCGATTAAATAAACAATGATTTAAATGTAAGTCACATTTGTATTGACTGATGAAAATAAGAATAATTTATCGTTTGTTTTGCTTATATTGTATATAACTATATATATTGTATATAACTATATATCTAATATTGAAAGTCAATATTAGAAATTAACTCACAGAATATTCTGCATTTATAAGGAGAGTCCATAATGAATGGCACACTATTGTCACATATGAATGATGTGATCGGCAATACATCGACAACTGACTGTCAATTAAACATGTCTTTACAAAACATGTCATCCAATAACTATAATCCATTACAGACTTCCAACTCATCGTCACTGTATGGCATCAACTGTAGTGAACCTCCATATGAAATGCCGCCATCGGTTGGTTATCCGGTATTAGTGCTTGAATTCGCAAAAATATTATACGGCATTGTATTTCTTGTCGGTCTATTTGGCAATACTTTGGTCATATATGTTGTCTGCCGTTTCTCAAAGATGCAGACCGTCACCAATATGTATATTTTCAATTTAGCCGTTGCCGATGAAATGTTTCTCGTAGGCCTACCTTTCCTCATAACAACTGTTATTTACAAATATTGGTCATTTGGACGAATTATGTGCAAAATATATATGACTACTACTTCTATAAATCAATTTACAAGTAGTTTACTGCTAACAGTAATGAGTGCCGACCGATATGTAGCCGTTTGCCATCCCATCTCATCTCCGCGATATCGGACGCCATTTATTGCTAAATTTATTTGTCTTACCGTTTGGACTGTAAGTTAAATATTATATTTTCAATGTTTTTTTTAAATAATTACAATATTTTAGAATAAAACAGAATCATTATCTGAGGTTATCATCAATTTTTTAATAGTTTTAAAAGTTATTAAAACAATAAAGTTAATTAAAAACGCTCATACTATCCTCTCCTACCTTCACCAACCATACTCCCTTTCCCAACCCTCCTAACCCTCAAACCCAACAAACCTAACCTAAAAACATAGAAGTAATGGTTTTAGTAATGAAAATTGTATGTCTCGCGCATTTTTAATAAATGTAATTCATGTTTTTAAATCGATGGATTCATATAATCAAGTTTAGCATTTAGTATATATATATATAAAATATTTTTAATTGTTTTATCTATAAATCGCAAACATTTTACAATTAATTAGCTTTAAAATAATTTAAATTAGAGACAATGCACAAATTTTAGTCAAAATCGAAATTTGACTGTAAAATTTATTTTAATATACCCTAATTAATTTTATGTATAAAAAGTCAAATAAAAAATTATAATTTATTTTCATTGTAAGGCTAAATAATATCCGCTTATTTTTTTTATAAAAAGCATTGTTTGAAATAATTTTTCTCATTAATAAATGATTTTTTTAAATATTGAATTTGCCGTTCAAACAAAAGTAATTCGTGAATAATATAAATAAATTCTTATATTCAATAATTTATTTGCAAATATAAATCGTCACATTAATTAATTTTACAAATGCTTCAACAATTTATGACATATTATACATTTGTAGTTATATGTAGGGTTAGATCAGATTTCCTCCCTTGTTTTATTTCCAAAAGTTTCTTATGTTCCCTGCTCTCTGGGAATTTCTATGGAATCTATTTCCTTGTGCTATCACCTATTAAATCCTAAACAAAACAGTTTATTATTAAACAAATAATATTTTACTCTATTTTAAGTTGTATTACCAAAAAGTATCACTAAATTTATTGAATTGAAATTTATTTTTAAATATTTCAATAATATTTTTTGCAAAATATTTAAGTTTTGGTACTATAATATGTATTGTAATAATATATAATATTTTTTCTAACGATAAAGGGAGGGAAAATAGAAAATTTTCTATATATTCCGGGAAAATTGGAGGGTTTTTTGGGAAACCTTCCTCCATGGCTAAGTTGATCGAACTCTAGTTGTATGTGATTTATTAAAACTGAATAAAAATGTCTTAATAAACAAATAATGACATTTGCAAATAATAATCGATTGTATTGATGTATTTCACTTAAATAATATATATATTAGTTATTTTTATAGTTTTTCTTTAATTGTTTTAAATGTTAACTTTGTTATAGTTAAAAATATATTGGTAATACTAATAGATATATTATAGTGTCTTATTGTTTTCAAAACATCTATCGATTTAATGTTTGAAATCTACACATTTGAATCACATTTGAATAAAATATTATACTAAATAATTAAATTTATTTGATCTTCACCTACAAAGTAATACGAGTTTTAATACATAAGAAAATATTATATTTAGTATATAAGAATTTAAATTTAAATATTGATTTTTATTATACATTATACTTTGATTTTAAGCACTATTATATAATAATTATTTAGTTTATTACAGAATAATATACTATTTACTATACCAGTAATATTTATACTGTATGTTAATATTAATATTAATGTTTTTAAAGGAAACAATATGTATAAAATAAAAACATTAATCAAAATTATAAAATTAAAATATTAATATTTAAATTATATATACATATATATAAAATTATCATTGTAATTTTAAAATAAAAATTTTAATTATCAGTTTTGGTTTAACAGAATATAACAAATTACTATTTATTTATGATAACCAAAATATTATAATTTTGTTCTTATTTTTAAATGTGTTTTATAAACAAAATACTGTATAACAATAATCTAAAATTAATAAATATTAAATAGCATTTTTATACAAATAATTTAAATTCATGCAATATATAAACAAATCAAATATATATATATAAATAAATTATGAATTCAATTATATCATATTTTGAGAATGAAAATTTAAGAACAGCATATTATCTAAGTTTCTATTGATTTTTTATAAATTTGTTTAAAATATAGTGTTTATTCAGTTATTTTTATAATTGAAATTTATGTTGAAATTCAATATAATTTTTGTATAATGTTTTGTTGAGAATTTTTTTTTTGATTGAAGACATAAGATTCAACACATGTTTCGATTTATATATAAAACAAATGGATTTAAAAATAATATTTATTTTAAAAAATCTTTCTATATATTAAAAGCTTAAATGAATTTATTTGAATTTATATCAATAGTGATTCAATGAAATACAATCAAACATTTTATTTATAAATGTTTTTTTAAATATTCAATTAAATATTAATATTATATAATCATATTTATATTGTAAAGCACAATACAATACAATAATACACTTAACGATTCTAAATTGTATTTATCGTAGATTATTGACAAACTAATGTTTATAATTTGTAAATTATATTTAATTTGTATAAATATTTAACATCAAAGAATTAATTAATTTTAATAAAATTATAGACTATAATGGGGTCTACAGTGTCTTAACAAATAAGTTCAACAGTATAGCTAACACTTAATAATTTGAATCATTTGTTCACTAACTCTCATTGAGAACACATACTGTATATAGAGATGGGTGAATAGAAAGTTTCTAATAAATTTCCGTGAAATTTCTATAGAAATTTAACTTTAATGTTATTCTATGTGATCCCCATATCTATAGTTATTGTAATACCAGTATTTTAATTATATATAATACTATACATATAATATCATACAGTATAATAATTATAATTATTTAATAATAATCAGTTTTGTAAAATTTTATTCATTTTATTATATAAATCATAGTTTAATTAATTAATTTTTTATTTTAATTAATAATTAAAATAATAATAATATTTAATGTATTGTTATATGATAGCAAATATCGAGATAACAAAATTAACCATGGGGATCCCATAGATAGAAATTTCTTTTAGAAACTTTCTAGAAATTTCTCTATTATTTTATAAATTTCTCCTTTTTGCCAACACTAACTGTATAACTAATACACTATTAATTATTAAGCTATTAATGAATATTATTATTAATTAACGTTTTGATCATTGAATTATTTGATGCAAATAAGAAATCTTGATAAAACCTATTTTGATAGATAAAAGTTAATACATTTTTCTATCATTTTCATAATACAGTATAATATAAACGTATTTCTATGCTAAACACAAATGATATAATTTCTTTGTAAAATTTATAATTAAAACTAATCTTAAACTTTAATATACTATATTTAACTATAATTAACAAACTGATTATTGGTTGAAAATTGGTTTTAATTATTTATTTATAAAATATTAAAATTATTTTGCGTTTTTAATTTAAATAATAACAAAAAATATTGATTATACAGTATATCTAAAATATAGTATAAAAATTGTAACAATATAATAAAAAATACATTTATCAATAAAACATTTAATACATATAAAATAAATAATTTATATATAAAATATAATTAAAATGATAATATAATTTGTAATAAATGTCAAACATTAATATAAATAAAACTTAATAAATGAGATAAAATGTTTTGATTAGTTATATGAAGGAAATTGACAACAATTAATCATTTGATGAGTTATTATAAAATGAATGAATTGACTAAAAATTATGGATATCTTTAGTCTAGACATATGTCCAACTCTTGTGCCGTAATATCTTAGATCAATGGTCTCACTCTATATCGATATAATGAGTGACACTTAAGTTAACTAATGAAGTAAAACAGTTATTAATCTCAAAACAGTCAAACCATTAATTTAAGAAAAAAATAAATGTTAAGAAAAACTTATTTGCTATTTAATACAGTCATTGCATTACAGTAGTTATGATAAGTTAGATCATTATATTTATGCTAAAAATAACTATAGTTTATATATTTATTATTGTAATTGAAATTGAAAGTAAAACAATTGTTATCAAATCTTAGCAAATACCATTTTTTTGTATGTGTGTGGATTTGTATGTATGTTTGTKTGTGTGTGTGTGTGTGTGTGTGTGTGTGTTTGACATTAAAAGCGCTTAAATAATTTTCTTTATATGAGTAATACTTGTATTGCTTTTATTATTGTCATCATTTAGCTTAAGGCAATGTCAGAAACTGAGACTATTTTAGGGGAAATGAAATAATACGATAGGAAAAGGATATATTGAAGCGAATAAATTGTTTGTGACATTTAGTGACATTTTATTTATATATAAAGTTAACTATTTTAATACATATGAATTTCATAATACATTATGTCATTTATTAAACTAATTTTAGTAAAACAGTTATTCAACCATTCAGTTTAAATTATTGATTATATCATTTTATTTTATACAAATAAAATTAATTTTAATTAATAATGTTTAATGGGAAAAATTATTTAATAATACAAAATTTATTCTTTAAGTTTATACAGCTATTTCTACAATAATTTTTGAGTTATTAAATAATAAAAATTTAAATAACAATATAAAATAATTTTATTCTATATATTCATAATATATATACGTTTATCAATATAACTATTTATTTTTATTGCTAATATATTTATATTATTATATAAAATTATTATATAAATTATATATATATTACAGTAATATTGTCAATCATTTTTAATATATAAACAATTTTGATAAAAATAATCAATAAAATGATTTTAGTTTTAGTTATAGACTGTGTTTATAATAAATTTGTGACAATAATAAATGTATATTTTTGATGTATTGAATGGATAGGTATCAGCATTACTAATGGTGCCGATCTTCATGTACGCCAACACATTAGAACTTCCGACAACAATATCTTGTAATATCTTTTGGCCCGAAAGTGATCTCATGAATGGCGAGAAGGCGTTCACATTATATACGTTTACTTTGGGATTCTTCATACCATTCGTTTTAATTCTTCTTTTTTATTTTCTGGTGATTTGCAAACTAAGAAAAGTCGGACCAAAAAATAGATCCAAAGAGAAGAAGCGATCACACCGTAAGGTCACATACCTTGTACTCACCGTTATATCGGTTTACGTCATGTGTTGGTTGCCTTATTGGATCGGACAGGTCTACATCACTTTCCTGCCTCCGGCACCCAATCATCGGTTTGTTGTTTCAATAGCTATAAATGACACGACATTTAATAAATGTATTAAAATAAATGCTTGAAATTTATATTAAAACAATGTTAAGTCATAAATATATAGTCAGAACTCTAAATAAACTTTATATTGATTTTGATCCCTTTATTGCTAGTCTTTAGCTCATTCACTCTATAAACCCAATACTTACTGTCTTCACCATTGATGACCTCAAGCATTATCATCACATCACTTGTTTTACTGTATATTTTGTTACAAACTTTGCTTTACTTTACTGAAAATATTAAATCTTTGTTTAAATCAGTTAATGATAGGAGTGTTTAGATAAAAGTCATTAGAAAAATGTCACAAAGATTAAGGCAAACAAAAAACAATTTTTGTCTTTTAATTTTAAAGATTAAATTTTTTGTTTTTGATTTTAAAAATGTAACATTTGATTACGTGTTTACAAAAATATATTATAATTCTATATTAGTTTTTTCTAAAATATAAATTTTTAATTTTTTTAAAGTCAATTAAATTACAAAAACAATTTTTTAGATATTAATTATAAGTTAAGGTCAGTTTTGTATAGTAAATAAATAATAATAATAATAAAATATTATTTCTTATAATTTTAACTAAATATCTTTATATTATTAGTCACTCTGAAGCCAGTCTAACATTCATACTATTGGCCGGTTGTCTTTCATACGCCAATTCAGGTCAATATTATTTTAAAAGCTAATAATTGATTAAATAAAGTTAAATTAATTATTTTTTTATTTATTTATTGATTTTTTTTGTCAATAGCTGTGAATCCTATTCTTTACGGTACGTATTGTGTATACATAGATATCAGATGTTTGTCACTTAAATTTATTGTCATTTAATCCAATAAATCAAATAAACACTAATTTGTGTTTTTCTCTCTTTCTATATATCTTTGTATATATATTTATATTATTTATATATAAAATTTATATGTATATCACATATAATCACATATAATGGTGAATCTAATGAAATATAATCTATAATTAACAGCATTTTTATCTGAAAATTTCAAGAAATCTTTTGGAAGGGCTTTCACTTGTGTTAGCGTTAAGGAAGTGAACGCACAGTTGAATGTTGAGAACTCGGTGTTCCCGAAGTCGACCCGCGGCTCGACTAAGACAACTGCTCGCAAATCTAAGAATATTGACGACAACGGAGAGACTCAAGGATTCAGTAATTTTGTATTACATGAGAGTAATATAGAGCACCAAAATGACATCGACCTGTCCACTGCTTTTACTATGACCTCCCGATCCCAATGCATGCCTTCACAAGAAAAGGATAGCCTTTTCAATAATGGATATACAGAAGCATCCATTAGTACACATAATGTTTAATAATAATTATAGTACATTATATAATAATAATGATAATAAATATCATTAATTTGCATTATTATCAAACTTTACCGAATTAAAGATGATTTAGACATTAAATAGCCATTAAATTTAAATGTCAATTAATACCTAATTGTTTGTCAATGAAAAGCCCATAAATTTTAATAACTGTATAAAAATTATTATTGAATTGAAAGGAAGATTTTATTTGGTGCTCAATATTGTATTTACAAATATTGTATATATAATGGTATATAAATTATGTTTTAATTTGTAATTAATATTTAAATAATAATTGACATATATTTTAAGCTATTTTCATAAATTGTTTCATTAAAATTAATTGTTTTATACTTAATTAATTTAAGATTTGTTTATTACTTATAAATTTGTATGTAAAAAACATTATAATTGTCCTAAAATGCTAAACAAATAATTGTTAAGTTTATTTTATCTAATATAAATTAAATATTGTTGTATATGTAAAACATTATTAATCATTTAAATGTAATATTCAAAAATTAAAATTACTTTATTCATTACAGATTTATAGCTGTGTTAATAGATTTACAAAAAAATAAAGTATAGATATCAGTAAATATAAATATTTTCTAAAAACAATTTTAATATTAACGTTAGATATAATGTAAAATCTAATTAATTAATAGCAATTAAATCAAACTAAATTACATTAATTTTTAAATTAGCATTATTATAAATTTGATGTTATAATATTCATTCTTAACTAACATAATGATAAAAATTGTTTTTAAATTTTATTTAATACAATTATTTTTATTTTTAAATTATGAAACTTTCTTAAATTTTTATTATAAAACTTAACATATTCTTCATAATTATATTGTTATTTATATAAATTCATTGTATTTATTTAATAAGTATACAAAAAAAATTAAATAAATTTTATTAAGAATTCATTTTTATTAAAAATAAATTAAATATAGATAATTATCAAACTACTGTACATATATTATTATTATTATTATTATTATTATTATTATTATTATTATTATTATTATTATTATTATTATTATTATTATTATTATTATTATTATTATTATTATTATTATTATTATTATTATTATTATTATTATTATTATTATTATTATTATTATTATTATTATTATTATTATTATTATTATTATTATTATTATTATTATTATTATTATTATTATTATTATTATTATTATTATTATTATTATTATTATTATTATTATTATTATTATTATTATTATTATTATTATTATTATTATTATTATTATTATTATTATTATTATTATTATTATTATTATTATTATTATTATTAAAATTTAAAGAATTCTATTATCTTAATATATTTGTATTTAAAAATTTTTTATATAATATTAATACAAACATAGAAAAAAATATGTTTTAAATGTCAGTTGTTTATAAAATTAAAATATAATTGTTTTTAAAAAATTATGATATATTATACTTAAAAAATTAATGTAAACTCTAATTCTTTGTTAAAATTTTTTAATAAGAATTACAGTTATAAGGGTTTAAAAATTCATATAACAATATTTAATTTAATTAACGCATGATTTATTCGTTCGTTGAATACATTCAAAAAATATGTATAATCTTTAATCTAAAGTAAATAATTTAAAAGTTAAATGTCAAATCATTTATTAGTAAAAAAAAAATTTCAAAAGTATGTTTTTTCAAAAATTTGTTTTTTAATTTATCTTATATTAAAATAGACAAAACAAGTAAATGCAATAATAAAATAGTAGTAATAATAACTATAGTATAATAAAAGTTGAAATATTAAAAAATAATTATTTTACACACACTTCAAATAATAGAATAATAAAAATATATTATAATTAGTTTTTAATTTTATTATTTTAATCAAAGTTATGGTCTAATAAGTTTTGATTTTATATTTAGTTTATATCAGCTTTATTTATGGGTACGGATTTGACTATTAATTTAATAAAATTTAATTTTACTTTTAGTTCAAATGTTAGATTTGTCCTTAAAAAGTGATTTTATTTTCTAATACATATATCACATGAAGTGTCATCCCGTGGACGACATGAGTGGCTTTGTATACACGGATTGGTTCACAAGTCATAGCAAACATAATCTTTGAAACGATAATAATAATATTATTATTATTATAATTATTTGTACATATGTTTTATCCAACAAATTATTATTATCATCTAAATGTTTTAATTTAAAAATATTAGTTAAAATAAACTTAATTTAAAATTAAATTATATATCATACTGTGATTCCTATTGAGATAAGTTTGCAGTTTGTTTATAAAACTATTAGATTTGACAATTCTATAATAAATACTATAATACAGTATATTACTAAAATACTGTATTATATAAGCATATAAATTGAGGTCAATTCAAATTGATTGTTTTAATTAAATTATTTTTGTTCAAATGAAGATTATTTAAAAATAAAAATATAAAATTATATATATATTAATCTAATAAATTTAGTAAATAAATAAAAGATTTCTAAATACAGTATATAAATATATACATATATACAATACTGTATAATATATTTATTTATATAAATACTTGCTTATAAAATAAAAATTAATGTATATGTTAATAGCATTTATATTTATTAAAAATAATATTGTTAAAACAAATGCAATGATTTTATTGATTTTTTAAAGTCCTATAAAATTGAAAAATTCAAATAACTTATTCATTATATTGAATCTAATTTCAATATAGAAATCCATTTCAAAATAGTTTTGTTTATAAAAAGTAGATTTGATTTCTCAAACCTTATATGTTATTCATAGCAAATCTAATGGTATATATTGAATGAATTCATGAAAAAATAGACTTAATATTGAATTTATTAAAATTGATTTAATGTTTCTAAATATATATTTCTATAATACATATTACAATATATTAAGAGCCACTTGAAAACATATAACTGCTTTATTGATCGCATGTTTTCAACACTGCATCACATTTGTGTTTATTTCGATATAATTATACATAAATTTAAATCAAACTTCAAATTAAAGCCAATGTGTGTATGAAATCTGTCTCTCTCTATACCATAACTTAATGTCTAATGAATAATAATTTGATTTAATGAGTTATGAGTCTATTTTAAAATATCATCGCTTACCTCATAAATAGTGTAATATAAATGGCATATAAAATTCAAGTCTTATATTTTAACCAAATATAGTCACAAATTGTGATTTATGGCAATTTTTATATACAACTTATACAATGTATACTAATTGTTATTTGTTAATAAAAAATCATTGAAAGCATATAATATTAAGGCTATTCCTCAAATGTGTATAAAAATAATAAATACAATAATAAAAAATATCTTAAATATTTAAAGCAATAGTCAAAATTGTTAAATAATTTATTTGATATAAAAATTTAGTAATAAACTCTGATTCTTATTTTTCATAATTAAAATACTAAATATAATTTTTGTAAATAAAATATATTTATTAATAATTGAATTATTTTAGTATTAGTATTAGTATTAGTATTAGTATTAGTATTAGTATTAGTATTAGTATTAGTATTAGTATTAGTATTAGTATTAGTATTAGTATTAGTATTAGTATTAGTATTAGTATTAGTATTAGTATTAGTATTAGTATTAGTATTAGTATTAGTATTAGTATTAGTATTAGTATTAGTATTAGTATTAGTATTAGTATTAGTATTAGTATTAGCATTAGCATTAGCATTAGCATTAGCATTAGCATTAGCATTAGTATTAGTATTATTAGCATAATTAAGTATATTATGCAATTTAGAATATTAGTAAATAGTAATTGCCTATACTAGTAATATATAAGCAATTTTGTCTTTATTTTATAAAAATATAATTATATACATATTTATCTTAGACATTACACCAAATAATAAATCCTATTTAAATTATACCAAGTGGCAATTCATTTGAATAGTGTATATTTATATAGATAATAAAAAATATATAAAAGTATATATCTATATAATGAATAATTTATATAAACTATATAATATATATAGTATATATAGTATATATTATGAATACTGAATATTAAATATTGTAAATAAATTATTCCTTAAATAATCTATTTTCAATGTAATTATTAATTTGCCTAAAATTCAATGAATATTTTTAGCAACTTTTTTAATACAATAATAAGTTGTTAGAGAAGCCAAACAAAAATACGAAATATTACTATTTGCTAACTGTATTTATAGCAATTTACGTAATACACTAAATGTTATCAATATACTAAACAATCTCTCATGAAACAAATAAATATTAGATGAACTTATAGTATATGTTATCCACAAAAAAAAATCATTTTTTGGCTTATTTTTTCGTAAAATTATTGAAAATGTTGTTTATAACTAATTTAAACCAATCATTATAAATTATTATGACTATATTACCATCGTATTTTTATATTAATAGATAACTAATAATATTTTAATTATAATTTATGTTTTATTAAGAAATAATTGTCGTTATTTAAATATTATTGTTAACATATCATCTATAATAATGTATATATTTATATATATATTTATATTTTATTTGATAGTTATTTAGCTATTTTTTGTTAGATAAGGTATACAAAAATTTAAGAATTATAAAAAAAAATTTACTACTTAAATAAAATAAATAAATCAGTAGCAAAATATGATAATATAATGTATTATTATATATATTACTAGACTTTATATAATATTAGATACAATAAAAACTTTAGGATTAACCCAATTTCGTAAATTATATTATATTGACTGAAACCCAATACATATAAAAGTATGGATTTCTGGTTTCACTTCAAATTAAATAAAAATAAATTAGTTTTTCTTTGATTTATTATTTTTACTTTTGGGAACTAATAAAGGAAGACGTGTTTTATTGTATTAGTTTTTATTGTTTCTTATTATTTGTTACAAACATTTCTAATTTTACACAAGATATCAAAT